TGAAACTTCATTTCACTCTCCTCAAAATAAAATAATAATAAAATAAATAATATATATTATAATAATAATACATAATAATAAAATAATAATAAAATAAATAATATATATTATAATAATAATACATAATAAATAATAATAATAATAATAAATAAATAATTTTAAAATACACCCCCTCTCCCAACGTCACTAATCGTGACGTCACCTGCTTCACCCCGACCTGTCATTTTTGATTTGTTACCTTTAATTAACACTCAATTGGCTCACAACCCAGACCTGTCATATTTGATTTATCTGACCCTTTGAACTTCAAAGACCTGTCATTTTGACGAAAGCGGTATTATCTCTCTCTCTCTCTTCTGGCAAAACATTCTAAAAAGGTGTTTTTCCATAATGTGGCAGATTTTGTTTTTCAGTCTTTAGGTTGAATTTCACTGCATAACCAGCACTTCTACAGTTACTTATTCACTGCAGTTATTCCAGTTAAGCACTAATTCCAGTTTATCTAGAAGTGCTATAGAAGTGCATCTCCTGAGATTTGAATCCATGATGTACAGGTCACAAGTTCTTGTCTCTAACACTCACCATCTGAATTGTTGGGTTAATTTTTTATTTAATTTGGAGCTTGTGTCATAGCGTCAGTCCCGTTTTTTTGTACACCTGGAAATCTTCTCTTGTGCATCTGCCCGTCAGACCATTCCAGAGAAGCTCTCCAGAACCTCACTGGCCCAGATAAGATCCAGCAGGTGTCATGGACGGTCTATTAGATCCTGAGAGGACTGCCGTTAGGGCGGCATGCATTCTGAAAGACAGCGGATGATCTTTGCAGTATATCCACACAATTTTAACAAGTTCCAAAACATTATAGCAAACCAACTTTATTGATTTAACATTCCATGCTTATAAGCTACTGCCTGGGTGTCCTGCATTTGACAGACTGGATACACAAACCCAATATAACATAAAGTACCTGAAGTGGCAGGGGGTGTAGTCATCAGGGCCGAATTACAGCTGTGCTTATTGGGAATAACGACACTAAGTTACACATTAGTAGCATTATCTGGTTCATTTCGACACATTTAGTGTTTATTTAAATACAGATCACCGAGTCTTACTTCATACCCTAACTTAAGTTCTTCATGACTTAACCAACATGTTTCATGCAGTGACTTCAATCCTTCAGTGTAGCATGTAGCTTTGTTTCAAAAGTGCCCCTGACTTCATATTGCATTACAGCACATTTAACTGTGGTGGAACATGTTCTGCTTAAACACTGTTAAAGTATTTGATAATGGGGTTTACATTTTGTACATTTATAATCCTTTGCGTCTAACTATAAAGTATGTGCTGCTCTTTGCTGTCATAGGTTAAGGAAATGCTAATGCAGCCGTACAGTGACCTCTAGTGGCCATCAATCTTTATACATTCTCTTTAAAGAATGTGCCATGTGACCCAACATGAATGCTGGTAGTGCTTCGTTTGTGCTCAGTACGTATTGCTGCAATTAAAAAAATAATAGTTTGCAAAGCTGAGGTAAAGGGCAGTCCAACTTTTGTGATTATGTGTTTAGTGTGATTCTTTAAATGTTACTCGCCTGTGCACTACTGTAACATCACTGGGAAACTGGAAGATATGGGGAAGCAATGAGTATTACATTCCGTATGTATTATTAATTGTAAAGGTGTTTGTAAGTATATTTATTAACTTGGTGTGCTGTTATTTTATCAAAAGTGGATCTGTGTATTGTGTGCACCCCAGTGGTTTGTGTTAATAAAGAATTTTGCACTGAAATGTCATCAGGATTCAACCTGTTTTTTTGTAAGATACACACACACACACACTACCCAATTTATATAGTAAATAAGACATACTTATATATTATATATAGCACCAGTATTTAGGCAAAGTCATAGCTCTGGCTGATAGCTCCACACGCAGCTGTTGGAGAGGCCAAAGTTCTCTTCTCTAATTGATTCAGGAAGCTGAAAGTTAGCTAGCAGACGCAGATGTCTCCTAATCACGTGGCTCTCCAGGTGGGCCCGTCCCGGGTCTCCAATCAGGACCTGCGTGCCATGGGCCTGGATGCAGCTCCGAAGCCAGGTGTGCAGGCTGTCAATCAGCACCTCCTCATAGAACATGTCTCCAAGCAGGATGAGGTCCCAGCCCTTGGGCTCAGTGCCAATCAAGTTCTCCGTCTCAGTGGGGAGGGATTCTAAGCCATTTAATTCACAGTTCAGTTTGGTGGCGATTGCTGCAACTGAGATTTAATGGGTAAGTTACGTTATCATAGGGTTAACAAGTGAAAAGTCTGTGTGCTAAATGTCCACATGCCTGGACAATTTTTTCCTTTGTAAAACGCCCACACATAAACATGTTAGGCCTGGAATGCCTGGTTACATTTCACTGCTTACATGTGATGAACATACATGAATTTGTTTTGGCAGATACCTACGCCTACCTGGATCTACGTCGTTAGCTAAAACGTAAACAGCGCCGGTGATTTCCGCAGCGATGGCGGAGGCGCCGCATCCACAGCCCAAGTCCAAGACCTTCCTACCCCGGGCCACTTCCGGGTTATTTAAGAGATACCTGTTAAATAAGGGTGTTGTACACTGTCAGAATTATCTCACTAAACTTTAAACTGACATTACATTGTAACACTGCTAAATCAAAAGTAAGTATTTAAATACCTTGCAAGTGCTTGTCCACCCGGCCAGTAAATAGCCCAATATGGGTCAGTGAACGGCCACAACTCTGGTTTTGCGTGCCAGAATTTAGAGTTTGGAGTAAACAGTCTTAGGCTGATTTCTGGAGTTAAATTATTTCTCCTCACTATGTCTGTATTTGCTATAATAAACTGCTTAATATCGTCTTCAGAGCTAACGTTTAAAATGTGACTATAATGGTCATTTGCGGTGCAGTACGAAACGCAGATGGTTTTTTTAACCATATTAGTTTTCGTCGCAAAACGTAAGCGTTGCAGATAACGGTGCAACATAGTGGGAAGGTTCACAATGGCTCGTCAAAAAACCGAAAAAATTTTAGTTTTAAGGTTACTTATCAGTAGTATTGTGTCAGCACTTACGCTACTACAAAGCACATTAACTCAGATGTGTTGTATTTTGCTGATATAATCGATTACCAACTTGTTTGTTCAAACGAACATGCCATCACATAGTTCATAATTTATCCCACGCAAACACTGCATGCATCCTCCAATAATAAAAGCGCATCCGGTGTCTCTGCTTTTATTCCGCTTTTCTCTTAAACTGACATTTTTGGTTCCGCTAAAAATGGTTCCCATCGCGCATTTTCATACTTGCTTAGCCTACACAAGTAGGCCTAGGCCTAGTATTGCCCTACACATTTATTTTACAAACAATAAGTCACATCATTTTAATGCATTTTATAACATTTAGATAAATATATTTCCACTTTATGTCACATGAAACGGTTTACACAACGATTACAGCTCAGTTCTACGTTTCCAGCGCCAGGTGGAACCAGAGAACAGTGAAAACATTCTCGTGCTCGATTTATTAGCAACGCGTTATCTTGGAGCGATATTGCATATATAATGTCATGTAACTTGCGTAAGTTCAAGAAAATACAATTTTAATGTACTATAAAACATGGGTATTCTAAAGCTGTGATGTCAGGCAATGTAATTGTGAATAAATGCACAAACATGTAGAGTCTAATAATTACAAATATATTTTTATAGCTTGGATAACCCTCATCCGATTTAAAACATTCATAAACATATATAATAAGGAGAAAAACATGTTTTGCAAACAAGGTAGACATGGGCAGAGGACAGAATGGCAAGTATTTCCTACTGAGAGCTGTCCAAAGTGCTGAGGGGAAAATCAGTCGTGTCATCTTTCAACCGTGAGGTAACTCCATCAATAATGTAAAACCGAGAGATTATATTCTCAACACTTCAAGGAATACGACCTTGGAAAAGGAAATGGAAAATGAGATAATCCACGTGCCTTCAGCTGCTGGTTACTTTATTCAAGCGCATTTCCCAGCCGTGGTCCTCACGTACTCCGTACCCTGTAGTTTTAGACGCACTTAAGCTCTTAATTAAATAAGATTAGACTTGATTATGTTAAACGGTCGGTTTTGTTCCCCCACGATTTTAATTGAAATCGCGTTAAGTCTAATAGTTCTTCTTTTGATTCTCTGGTTGTGAGAAAAAAAATTGTTGTTGGGAACAATTGCTGTGGTGCAAAGTATAGGCTATCTTTCAAAATATATTAAGAGCTCACCTTTTCAGTACAAATACTTGCATCATATTTTAGACTGGTTAGCGAGATTAAAGCTGATCTCAACTGACATTTTTCACTTGATTTGATGGATACAAAGCATTTGAAAAACATTTCAATCCAGGGCAATAAATAAAGAGCTCAGCAGTACTGACTCCACTATACATGCCTGGTGTGCCGCAAAATACTTTGTATGGAAACACGGTTATATATATATTAACATACATAATTGCCAACTGTACAGATTATAATTAGATTTTTTCTATAGGCTACTACTACTGAGTGTTTTTAGATTATGACAGAAGCTATAAAAACCGAATGTAACTGAGTGATAGCTTATGAGTTGTTTTCATACATTACATACTAGGCCTATACGTGAAAGCACGTTTTCTCTATCAACATATAAAAATTGCCTCTGTTTTGCACACCCGTCTGTCAATGTGTCTGATGTTGGTGCATGTAATGCTACATTTTGGGGTCTTAGAATTATTATTTATTGTGGCTTTAATGCTGACGTCCGTATACACTTAAATCATTCATTTGTAACTTACTTACCCGTGAAAGTGATTATTTTGAAAGGCGTAATGTTAACCCGACGAGCTCCTATTGTCTTTGAACGTCCCGCCCCGCCATGCGGCCGTCGCTCAGTGTTCAGTGCCCGCCCCGAATCGCAGAAAGCCAGGCGTAGAACAAGCGCTCCGGCGCCCGCTTTCGGACAGTCGCGATCAGGCTGTGAGAGATGCGGACGCTCTTTCATTGCAATCAGAAATATTTTGCAAGCCAGACAGTCTTTTACAAATATTTAACACCACAGAGGTCTTATTCCATATATGTTTATTAAGGGTGCTGTCAGTTCTGCTTAAAAACAGCCGTTCATTGTTTTTTACGATGGATATTTTGGTGTGTTAGTGGGGAAGCAGCCCGAAGATATTCGCCCAGCATGAGTGTGAGCGCCCCGGGAACCGGAGCGGCCCCGTGCCGCTTCGCCCACTACTTCGCAACGTGCGGAATAGACGTGGAAACGGGTTTAGAACCGGACGAATTAGCAGGTGGGATTTCACTTATAAACCTTTTTTTCTTTGTGTCGCTGCTTGTACCGATATTATGGTTGGGTTGTGTATGAAAGGCGTCTACAAATCTGTGTTATTCAGTGGCATAGAGAGACGTATTGATCAAAATCGGGGAATTCTGGTAAGATTTTGGAAGAACATATCTAACGATATATTTGCGTGGATTTGTGTTTTTGTCAGTACTCGTTAAGAGGCTAACAAATGTAGTTTTTGTAATAATGGCAAATAGCAGTCCTCTCGTTTATATGCTTTGAATGTAGTTGCTATTTTAATTAAAACACTCTTTTAAAACTACAAAGCAACGTATTATTTTATTATCATTATTATTATTAGGCTGCTATTATTATATTATTATTATTATTATTATTATTATTATTATTATTATTATTATTATTATTCACATATTGTCGCCTCCGGGAAGTTAGTATTAAAGGGATTTTTAAAAATGGTGCTGGCGTTCGCCTACAGTGTCAGGTTCTTAAGTCTGGTTGACAAGCAAAACTGTATATGAGGGTTCTGGCACACTTTAGATCCAACGAATCGTGTATCGCTTAATTCGACACAACAAGCTTGTGATAGTGTTTGCTTTAGAAATGTTTACTTTTCTGCAGCATTATTAGTTTTCCATTATCATTTCCCTCATTGATTGTTAAATATTTAGTATGTATTGAGAACGGCTTTTTGGAGGGTATTCTGCTCCTCATATAACCTAAGAGGCAGAAAACGTTTCGTGCGTTTCCCAATATATAAAAATTCAGAGTAGACAAGACATCCTGCGTGTCCGTGATGTCATTCCAGATGCATTGTGACGTTGCCAGTGCGACTAATCGAACGCTTTCTCGGTTCGAATTGTTCGATTCAGTGAACAGTTCGATATCCGTCGTTTTCTGATGTATTGACAACTGCATGTAAAATGTGTATTTTTAAAAATAATTGTTCGTGAGCTTAAGGTGTGACGGAGTGTTTCAATAACACACACACACACACACACACACACACACAGATTTTTGCGCGATTTGAGCTTAAGATAAGAATTTTAGTGAACAGCCTGTATTGTATGACCAGTTAGCCTTAAAAGTAGACCAGTACCAGTGAATTCAATAGAATGCTAGCTTTGTTTGGGCCAGAAACTACTGTGTATGTTTCAGATCTGGCGATGTTACTGCAAACAATTTGTGTTTTGATTACTGAACGCATAGCACAGAACAAGATATGACATCCGTGACAGGGATCTAGTTTATGTTGATCATCTCCAATCCCCAGTGGAACCATTCCCTTGAGATCGCGTTATATTCACTTCCGTTGATTCTGATTTTTTTATTGTATACATTTTCTTAAGCTTGTGGGGTTTGATAATGACTTTGTGCTTTAGTTAATGGGCTGCCACTCTCAGCTGTGCTTAGCACAAAGGTCAGAGTGATGCAATGCTGCGTGAGCAGTCTCTTCTGATAGTCTCTTCTTCCACCCTGTGCTGTCATATGGAAAGAAAATCACACATAAAAAAAATATCAAATGTGTTATTTTGGCAGTGAACATGAACATTTCAAAATGCTGTTGTTAATGAATGTGGCTCTTGTAATGGGCCATGTTGAAGATTTACGTATATCTTACGTATATTCTATGTATGTTAAACATTAAACTGCTCAGAACTTCACAACTGAGACATTAACTTTTATCTTATCAGCCTTTTGCTTTTTGGAATACACCCGGGGTTTGCCTTTTGGACAGATGCAGGGTCCACTGTAAAAAAAAATATATTTTATATTTTAAATTAAATTAAATAGAAATCAACAGACTTTTTTAGCTTTAAGACTTTCAGGACATGTCGTTTTGGGAACAGGGGATCTACACCTAAATTCTGTTGCAGCTCTGTTTGGCACTTGTTCCGGGAAATAAATCAGCGTTAAGGATTGCTTTGGTGATCTCTGTCTCAACAGGAAAGGTCTCATTGTTGTCTTGGTCATTATATGTAACTCAGGGTCTGGGCCTATCACATAGCTCGTCTCTGAGGCATGCTTGTCTGTCGCTATTGAGTCCTGTTTGTGTCGGTCTGCGGTATTGGATTTTAGCTCTGCTTGACTTGGGCTGTGGCACGTGCCAGTGTTTTCAGGCCATTGCTAGATGAATTTCTGGCAAAAGCCCACGACTGCGTTCTTGCTCTTCATGAAATACATGCACGCTTGCTAGCTCAGAGTTTGCCCCAGGAATTATAAATAGTTCTGTGGTCCTGCGGATTTTGCGAAGGCTTGCACGGTTGGGAAGTGAGCTCCCTTTATATTGTACTTGCAGCAAATGGTTTTGTGTGGGGAGTCGTTTGAATAGTTGCCACAATGGTTGCGGAACCCCCTTGTCCTAGATAAGTGTCCTTCACCCTGATTAAAAAAAATAATCTAGAATTTGCCCAGTCACGCTTTTCTTGCCCCTTGATTTGATTTTAGCAAAAAGGCTGCAGTGTCATGCATGTCTCTGTAATATCCCGTCTGCTTTGCTAAATACAGACATCATCCAGAGGTGACATTTAAATAGCTGCACATCTGTATGTTTTTCTATCAAGACGCTGATCCTGGTGACCTGAGCCTTAGTTGGGGGATGTGGGGGGGGGGGACGTCCTTCAAGGTACAGCCAAGCAGCCGGAGGAGGTCACATGTGAACCTCACCTTTTGGCGAGTTGGATCGTCGTGCCCTGATTTTGCCACTAGAAAATGATATTCAACATATCTCACTGCTGCAATGACTTGTACTTGTCTGGTATCCTGTCCTTTTACCTCCTGTGAAAATTGGAAGATGATGTGATTGGTTATTAACTTAAAAAGCCTGGTTGTTAGTCTAAATATGGAACATAAGAGCAGGCACCTGGTATCTGGTACCACACCACACATAGTCTCCAAATGTTTGTAAATAGGATCGACTTCGACTCTCCCCATCAGTTTGATGACCCATAACCCCCCAAATCATTCTCTGTCTGACAGCACTATTGCTCCTGATTTGGGGAGGAATCATTGTAGAATGTGTGAATCGTGGCTTAGAGAGAAACCTTACGCACTTTCGTCTCTCCCAGTGTCTCTTCCCCCCCCCCCATGCTGCTGATCCCGTTCTGTGGTTTACCACCAGCTAGTTTGTATCTATATCCACTGCTGCGATACTGTCCCTCTAGCTGCATCTCTGGGTTTCCCCACAGTAGGGGGCGGGGGGTTATTTTAACCTCAAGAGAAAGCTCCTTTTTCATAAATATATAGTCATGTCGATCGACACGCAGTAGATTAGCAAAACCATTGTCCCTAGGGAACAGCAGTTTGGTTTGGAGCATTTGTGTTCTGTTCTATATTCCATACATATAAATGCACACGTTGCTGTGTGTGCGAGGAGAGCGCGATGTCTGCCATCAGCCTTCCTACAGTGATGTCATTCTGCCAGTGTGGCCCCTACCTCAACACAAAGGGGGCGGTTTTGACCTACATTGAGTGTCCAGTCGCCCAGTGAGTTATTTTTGGCCTGACAGGGTTCAGATGATTGTGCGGTAGGTCCCCGCTTCCTTTCCGCCGTGGGCTCCATTGTTGTGGTATGGGAGTGGCAGCTTTTGCCAAGCAGCTCCATTGTGACGGGAGAGCCAGGCTTCCTGATGGGTGTTGCAGGTGGGGTGGGAGAAGCCCTATGTGGCCCATCTTGCTCGTCCCTCCACCATTCTGTCCGTACCCCCTCGCCACGCCGGCCACAGTAGCCTCTGTCTATGATGGGCCGCCTTTGATTTTAAAAGTTAAAATGAATCGCTATGCTGATTGGCTACCTTGTTGCTCACCCTGTAATTCCACCCGTACGAATTCTAGTTTTTATCCATCTGCTTTTCTCAGTCTGGCCCATTGTAAGGTTTTAAATAAATAGCAGAATAAGGCAGGTGTGTAATCTTACTGCTTTGTATCTTGTAATTGCTCCCCACCATTATTTTGCAGTGGCTGGTTTTAATGGTGTCTGTTTCCTCCCATCGGAGAGCGGGGTTATGGGGGGGGGGGCATCATTTGCCCCGTCTCCCTCCCAATATGCAGCTGCTCCGTTGCGCATTTGCAGGCTTTACTAACCCCTCGCTATCCTCTGCTTGTTAACCTGTGTAGAAATCAGTGGCTGGTCAGAGCCTCTTGCTACCCAGAGTGTTTATGATGCCACGTGTTTCCCCCTTTTTAGCTTTTTGTGTGACTTTAGCTACTCAGCTGGAGTTGTTGATCCAGAGTGATTGAATCCCCCTTATGGACCTGAGAGTCTCTCATTTAAGTGCATCTGTTTAATAAGACAGTTCCACCATGTGGGGAGTTGCAGGCTTTTCCATAAGGCTTCATCGAGCGTTTTTGTGTTTGGATCTATGTCGAGGAGGTCGCCCTACCGTCAGTGTAACAGAAGTCAGGGGTCTTATTGTGTTTCAAGATGGAAGGTCTTCTTGGTCTGGCGCTGCACAGTGCTGAAAGCGGAGAACGCGGCCGTCTATTTTTGGCATCGACGTCGGCGCGCCAGCTGCCACGACGCAGTAG